TTTAATAAGTTTTATTTCATTTTTTTCATTTGAAATGCTAATTTATTTATTTTTAATTGATGTTCATCTAACACCAATAACAATATTATTTTGTGTTTTAATCAATAATAAAATTAAAATTTATTTCTTCTATATGAATTTATAAAAATATTGTTTTTTTTTATTTATTAATTTTTTTTTATTAACTGTGTGGTCAAATTCACTAGTTGAAAATATATGTGAACCATAAAAAAAAAATATAGGCCAGGGATCCTCTTTCTCATCATCTTGATTCTTGTGCAGCGGATCATGTATTATTTACAACTGCATGTTAGTCTTGGGTGACATGCCGGTACATATTGTGTTTGGGATTTATCACTATTTTTTGGATCATTTTTCTTCTTAGCTCGTGGAAATGTATAACTAGAACAAGATCGTTCTTATCGAATTGTATTTTATTTTTTGATATAATATTTATTAATATGAAGAAATTAATACATAGAAGGGTAAAATTGTCAAATTTAAATTAATTTATATTTATTTTAAATAGATTTAAAGAATGATTACAAGAAAATGAAAATAAAAGAGGTAGATATAATATCGTAAACCACATAAAGGTGAGTGTTATAAAGCAAAATCTGAAGAGATTTAGATCTTTGAAATTATCCCTAATTTCTTCTCCTACTTGCTACATTCAAGTCACATTAATCGATATAAGGTCAATACCAAATCATGCCTGACTTTAACTAATATTCTAGAATTATTACTTTCTCACTTTATTTCAGATACACTTGTTATTATCAGTTCATTCTTCTTTTCCACTTAACACATTGATATTACTAGTCATGCAACCCTCTTTGCGTTCACCCAACCAAAAAATCATTACTACTAAATATTACCACCCTTTATAGTTATCAAATACAACATTGTTCTTTAAGAACTCAACACAAAGAGAAAGGCAAAAGAGAATTTCATGATTAGAGTGAACAAGGGGTATTTCAGATACAATCGTTGATTGGGAGAGTGCTTGTATGAGGTCTACTATGGGTATTTTCTAGCTATTACTTTAAGTTATTAATTATTGTGCTTTATTTTTTTACGTCATTTTCAAATAATATATGTTACTTACTACTTTTCTCCATTTATATGGCATTAATGGAATTTTGAGAAACAATGGACTCTTTATATGTCTTCTAAGTATTTTAAGTTGTTAATTATTGTGACTAATATACGTATTTTAAGTTGTTAATTATTGTGATTTATAGTATATTCTACGTAATTTTCAAATAATGTATATCAGTTCTTTTGTCCCATTATATGGCACATATAGAATTTTAAAGAGTCAGCAATTTTTTTACATGTTTTTAAATATTCAAGTTGTTAATTATTGTGATTTATAATATTTTTACGTCATTTTCAAACCATACAAGTTACTTCCTCTATTCCATTTTATGTAACAATGACAAAATTTTCAAGAATCAATTAAATTTACGGAAAATTACGCGTATAAGCAAACATATACTAGTTAATTAGTTAACACAGCTATAGTTTGCCTTAATTACAATTCGCGACCTACTTTTAGCTATAATTACACTACTCAACTTTTTAGTTTTGTATAATTCGCACGTTTGTATAATTCGGAATTTGTATAACTTTTGTATAATTTGGAATTTGTATAATATAATTTGTATAAGTGTTTACACTTCTGATGTTTATAACTGTATAAATTCGTTATTTCAAGTTTATACAAAACTAACTAAATTATACAAATATATCCGCGAATTATACAAATCCACAAATTATACAAACGAGATAGTTTAAACTATACCTACAGCCGGTAAATATGCAAATTATAGCTATGGACCATAATTAAGTTTGCTATAGTGGCTATTTGTGAAAGTAACCCTTAAATTTATTATGTTTTTAAATATTTTAAATTGTAAAAATCATGATTTATTATATTTTTTATATAATGTATAAAAACTAACAAAAATAAGACTTATAAATTTAAATTTAAAGATAATAAGTCCTGAAACTCCCCTAACAAACCATTATAATTTTGATAACTTGGAAAAATAAATCAATAGAGAGCTGCTTCTGAGACAAACACACATCGTCGCCGTTCTATCTGAAGCATTCTTGAAATCATAGGTATTTTGTTTCTTTTCCTTTACCTTTGCAAATAGTTGAATTCGAAGATTGCTCTACAAAATTAATTATTTGTTTCGTATTACGTAGATGATATTGGATCTAAAGATTCACCAAAAAGTTTTTTTTTTAATCTGTAATTACCGTTTTGTGTGACAAGTAGTTGTTTCAGATTTTGGATGCTTTAATTTGTGTAACATCTCTTACTTGTTTAGAATAATATACATTCTATAACTGGATACTTATTGTGACAAAAGTATGTGAAAACTACTAAAATTTCAATAAATACCAAGTCTGAAGTCCACCTCTGATCATTCAACTAAGTTAGACCTCCGATTTATTTTATTTTTGTCTTACACATGAGATTGAGGCGTCTTATATTCTGACGTTTTTTTTTTTTTTTGCTTTCCAACTATTAAGAATTCGAAGTGACAATGATCTGTAGCAAGAATGAGTGTTTTGTCTAGACCGTGGAAACATATTTGGGCTTCAATTCCCAAGCTTGTATTTTCAGCTGACTTTTGCCATAGCAATCCATTAATAATAGACGTCATTAATACAATTTTGTTGCAACATTGTGAGCCATTAAGACATTCCTAGTCAATATCTCATCGATACCTTCTTCTCAACACTCCGTTGTTGATGAATGGATACTTTTGCTGTCAAGAAACGGTGTCATGGATCTCACACTTGACATTTAAATTATGAGTTATGACATATTAAACAAAAGAAATTTTTATCAAATTGAATACTTGATATATTATAAGAATTGCATAATTTAAGTTATTGGTTTGAGCTTGTATATTTCTCTTCAATTTTTGTGCAACTTATCACACACTATTTTTCAAAGTTCTTGCACTTAATTAGCATGAAATACACGAGCAACATACATGTCTGAGTATATAAATATCGTTATAATTGCTAATTTTTATGAGCATTTTTCATATTTTCCAGTTATAGCTCTTTCCTCTTCTCTCCGATCTCTGTGTCGTTTACACTTCAGAGTCATTCCTTTGGAGGTTCCTTCTACTTCTTCCTGTTATCAGCCCATTTGTTTTTTATTCTTCATTTTTTCCATGTATGAATAAATGGTTTTCACTGTATTCTATTCCTTATCTTCTCTTGAGTTTCTCTGGATGTGCTTTGTCCTGGTTGTTTCTCAATTTTGGTATGAGTTTTCAGGATTCCCAAGTGCTTCAAAGCAGAACCAAGACAGAATGGATCCTTAGATCGAGAAAAAGGTCTAACCAAAGGAAAAAATTAGCATCCCTCATTTCTACAGCAACACTTTTTTTTTCAGTATTTTCAAATCCAAAACAAATTAAGATACTGAGCTTAAGACTAAGCTAGCGTTTGGCCATAGATTTCTAAATATTCTTGGCAAATATTATTTGAGTGAAAATTCACTATGTGTTTGGCCATAGTATTTGGGAAATATATTTCACTTTTTTAGAAAAATATAATTTATACCCATAAGTTTTAAAAACTATCAGAACTAATAATAAGTTTGTATTACAAGTCAATTGAATCTTCGTTGCAACAATAACAAATAGTGTCCATGACACTAGTGCAATGTGATAGTTTGGAGTGAGTGCAACAAGCATCATTCCATACATCGTAAAGTAGACAAAGCACATGACTTTGTTACCCTGAGCCGATTGTTCATCATTTTCATCAAAAACCATATCATCATTTAATATTTCACTGAATAATTCATCACTACTTTGGTGTTCACATGAAAAATTATGTAATATGACACAAACAACTACTAAAGAGGGTGTTTTTGTAAAAGATAAAAGTTTGGGGTAAAATTTCAATTTTCAAAAGATCCCAAATAATGAGATTTGGCCCAAATACTAGAAAAAACTAGTATTTGGGAATATGGGATATTTGCCAAAAATATTTGCCAAATAATGGTAAATTGTATGGACAAACACTATTTGCTAATTTTTTTCCTAAATATTATTTAGGAAATCTATAGCCAAACAGGACCTTAAGAAACTGATATAAACAAAAACTCAATTTTGGTTGGATTTTATCTTTGGAGTAGTTGTGTTTCTTACTAACATACAAGTATTCCTGCTTTGAGATAAAAAAAATTTAACAAACATTCTGCATTTTATTCATCTTAACTCAAAAGTACAATGATCTGAGGGAGATATAAAAAGGGACTTACTTCTCCCTAATTTGAAAGGATTTAAACTCCTATTTGAGATGAAGAAAATGTAAAAGATGATTGAAATCTTGGTCATAACCAAATGACACCAAGTTTTCCAATCTAACAACCTGTCAAAAGGCAGATTCTAAACGAAACTCCATCTCAGGGCGGGTCCCAGATGATGAGATAGATTATAGTTAACAAAATCGAGTTATTAGAGCCAGCACAAGGCAATTTGTTCTAAATTAGACGAGTTTACTGCAAACAAGAAATAATTGGACTTGTAGAGATAACGAGCTTTTGGACAAATTTACTTGATGGAAATTGGTAATTAGTTCATATTTGTATTAGTGGATGAACCGATAAAATAAGGAAAAAGTTTATAAATTAAAAAGGTAAGTTATACACATAATAGAATTTTCGACAAATCTTAGAAATTTATAAGACTTCTTTTATTGAGAAGTCGAATGTCCATGTCCATGTAGGATATGAGTTGTACAACTAACATGATCATGTTCTTTTATTATTTTGACATATTAGCATTATAAGTAGAAGAGCTTGCATAATTTAAGTAACTCTTCTGTATTGCTAATTATACATGCTTAGTTAGAAATATTTAATGTGAGATGAAAATTGATGGAAGAGATAACATTTCTATCTATATATTATATAGAAACATGAAGAGGAGGACAATCAACGGCAGAGTTATAAATATATATACTCATTATTCAAGGGTACTATGGTCATTATACAGAACTGATTTTTTTAAGCAAACCACATGTGCCTCTTCCATATTCTTCCAGAACGTTCTTCCTCTTTCCTCATTTTTGCATATTATTAAGAGATTAGGAATTAAGCAAATGAAAATTGGTAGGATCTTCTCAAATCCGTTCTTCTTCTTTTTACTCAAACCGGAAAAAGTAGACACAAGTCTCTGCTATTTTCATCTTTTCAGCAGGCTATCGCCATTTTTAGGTATGTATATTCTTCCTTCAATGTTCTTCGTCTTTATCTTATTCTTTATGTTTCTCTTTTTTTCCCTTTATATGTACAAGTTCCCTTCAGATCTTTTCGTTTCGCAGCTAATTTTAGTATGATTCCCTTTATATGTACAAGTTCTTTCAAAAGTGAGCATCGCTTACAAATATGCATTTTATGTTTCTTTATGTATAGGAGGTCGATGCTTCCTCTGAGTAAGCGGCTCGTATTGTTATTCTTCATTCTAGAATTAACTGGGTAAGTTTTGATGTACTAAATTTGTATATTTGAATTTGTTTTATTAATTTCCATAGTTTTGTTACACTTAATAAAAGCCTATTGCTGAAAATGCTTTCTTCCTCTCTTGGTACTAAGACAAGTATTTTTTGGTTGCCAACTCTTTGTTGTTGGTCTTGACTGCACAAATTCGACTTATGTTGCTGCTTTTCAACTTGGAGCAATATCAGTCTTTATGTTCATACTTGCTTTATTCATGGGGTCAGTAAACATTCAATTCCTTTCATCTCTCGATTTTGTATCCTTGTTCCCATCACTCTTATATCTTGCATGACCTGTGAGTTCGAGTGAATCTGGTGTTGCTAAACTTTGTGAGATGTGAAAGATCAAGTTCTATCAAGTATCAAATGTTGTATTTTAATGCCAAAACTGTTGTGCTTTAAATTGGAGCAACCACAAGTACTTTATTTGTGTGCATAGAATGAGAGTCATTGCAATCAATTTGAGGATGTATATCCTTCAAATTGATACAATATGACCTGAGATAGGTCACTATTTTTTGGTGAAATGGACCTTCTAAGGTACAAAATTGCAGACTCACTTCTGGAACAAATTAAATCTGAGATAGAGGAGGTAATTCATCTAATTCCAAAAACAAATGCTAGCTCATACTATTTCAATTTGGCTTCCTTTTTTTTGAAAAGTAAAATTATATTGATATCCCAATGACCTTCCAGCTAGATTAAGGACCAACTAACTACAGAATTCTCAACCCAATCTCCACCCATCAACACCTAGGGATGTGAGGTGGCAGAATAGGATGGTAGAGTAGGGTGGGGCGAGGTAAAACTTAGGGGGGCAAAGAAATATCTAAAAAAACATCATATTAACCAAAACCAAACTTCCCAACATAATACAAAACATTGTATGAACCTACTGGAAGTCTCAAATCAAGGAATGAGGTGCTAATACTTAAAACGAGGGGTTGTGTTGTTACATATAGTTTCTCTTATGAAGAGCTTTAGTTTTTTCTGCTTCCTAATCAGTTCTTTTCCTCTTTGTTTTGACAGTTGCAACTACTATTTGGTCTGTGTTAGCTTTTTGGATGGTTCCGATGCAATCACTTGATCAAGATGGCTAGAAGCTTATGGGAAGACACACAAGTCCGCTTCCTAAGTCATTTTTCTTTGACAACAACATTTCAGGTATTTGCTATGATGCTTATTTCTGGAAGTATGTTGGCTTCACTTCATTAATTGTTTGAGCTGTCACTCAGTCCTTGACGGGTTACTGAAGTAATGTAGAATTGTAGTTTATAGTTTACATGGGAGCGACTGATTTGATATATTGTGGCATATCTTATGTAAGTTTGCTCACTTATTTAGTTGTGTTCATTATTGTCCCTTTCTCTTCCTCATGATGAACATGTATTATGCTTCTACGCTTCTGTTCAATGTTTTTTGTTCGACAACTGTTGTGGACATGAAAATAATTATATAGGCAGTTAGATTAAAATGAGACTAGAATTTCACTTTAAAATGCCTAAATTGTATCCCTAAAGTGTTTGTACTTTCTGATTTATTGAAAGTTGAAACTCTGATGGACTAACGTTTTCTCAGTTTAATCTTGAGATGACATCATTTTTTTAGTTTCTAACTAGACCTAACAACTTCTCCTCTTCTCTTTGGTTTATTAATGCTCTAAGTTCTTTTTTGTTTTAGCTCTCCTTTTGTCGATTTTCCATTCGATTAGCTTGATTTTTAATTCAATTTTGCTGCTTTATGTAGTACCTGTGTTGTAGTCTTGTTGCATGCACTGTGTTATACTTCATTAGTTGTTTTTGAGGGTTGCTGGGTTCTTTGATATACGTGCATTTATGCTCTAGCCAATGTTTTAGGTTCACTCTAGAAACATCTTCATCCCTCTTAACTAATCCTAGGAGAAAAATTTAAAAGTAACTCCATCATTTATAGTGTAATTTTCATCAGTTTCATATGCTAATCGGTTGAGTGAACAAAAAGATCATTTAAAACTAAACAATATCTTTCTACATGGCTCTCTTTCATCCACACATTGAAAACACTTTTCTAGAATCAAGAAGTTAAACACATTAAAAAGACATTTTTCCTTTTCCACACTTTCATTTATCACTCTTCAATGCTATCGCAATTCTCATTTTTCCATAGTAAGTGTTGGTACTATATTAATTGCACTGATCATACCTGCTGGGGTAATATGTAAACTGTATTTGTTTAGTGAATTTGGAATCGAGTTTTTTTAATGAATCTTGGAATTGTATTTGTTTTTTGTTTCTGCTTTATTAAGTAATACAGTGATGTGTTGACACAATTGTGGAGGTACAATTGTTTAATTCCCATATTGCTAATACAAATATTCTTATTTATATTATGTTTTATGTAGAACAATATGGGAAGAGATCCCCTCCCATTAGAAAATGTCCAATTCAATGGAATGGTAGATTCATGTCAAATGTCCATTCTATTATTTAATGGCAGTGATTTGTTTTGGTTGTGAACAATTATAAATGGTTTGCTAATTTTTTTTAAAAAAAAATAAGAGGAAAAATAAAAAGTAACTGTTTATATTAACATATGTCTGCCGTTTTTCTTAATCTCTTCTAGCTAAATAATAAACTAAATATTACTCCCTCTTATATCTATATTAAGCGAATTTGTGAGATAATGCACACCTAAAAAGGAATTTAACGACATTATTCCTTCTAACTTGCACTTCATATCTTTTCTTCTACTTGATTTTCCTAAAATCAAATACATACAAGCATTAAAATAAATGGTATATTGGGTTCTCTTCCTCTCAATACAGCTGACATTGCTTTGTCTAATTTATATGAGCTGAAGGAAAACGAAAATGTAGAGTGAGTTTTTTTCGTTCCCCTTTTTTGTCGGCGACTACTAATTGAGAATAAGGTAAGTGTATGAATTTTTATTTGGTCACGACTTTAATAGCTTTTGTTCTCTATAGACACACTTTGGTTCTTGTAACAACTCTTTGATCTAATGTCATGCTAAATAAGAGCTTTTTATTGATGCATTTCAGATAATTTGGGTCAAACTCATTCTAATTAACAATGATGATGGCCTTTGATAACTAAAATATTGTAAATAAATTTCAAAGGCAATTATACTATCATATTTTACATAAATAGTAGGTCTTTTGTTGAAAGTTGTAGCCTAGAACTAAATCTTAATATCCATGAACTACTATTATAAATATCAGGGCCCTGTGTTGTCCTTATGAAATAAGCTATATGAGAGATGAGTATGGTAGATTTCTAGCAGTAAAGGTAATTTTTCTGTGAGATCTTGTCCCAAAACAATTCAATGTAAGAGGGACACAAAGGTTCATTACTAGGAAGCCTGTTTCACATGATTAGTAGATTGTCAATCTTATTTAACACATGATTATTTATCAAAAGAAACTTCAACTTGTGCAATATGTGTTGCATGTGTAGAGAAGATATCAAAAGAAATAGTCACCTGTATCACTTTTTGGTGGCTCACAACTTTGGGACATGTTTTTTAACTCATTCAATCTAAAACTGGACAATGTCATACTCAACAAGCAGTTGTTGTCAATGTACATGGCTGAAAACATTTATAATATACATTTGTGTTCTCTTAAAATTGATAATGAGTATCCATATATATGTGATTATTTTTCTGTTATAATTTCAGGTAATGCAGAAAACGTAAAGTTGCAAGCTCATACAAGTTGTTATGAAAAGATATATTCGATTTAGTCAAGACGACTGATTGATAGAGGTGGTCATTTGGTCTGCAATGTAGCCAACAAAGCTAGAAAATTGGAAAGAGCAGCAAAACTATTGCGAAATCAATCCCCAATTATATTTTAGAAAATATCTAGAAGAACAACTATTCCTCATAATGAATGAAGAGTTGTCCTTATCTTTTGTATAGTTCTTGCCTTCAAGATTTGTATTTTTGATGTAATGATCAGGCTTTAGATAAATTAGATCAATCAATGGTGAAATTTATGGATTCCTTGCGCTTTTAAGAACCAGATTTTTGTTTATCATTTTATTTGTCTTTACTTTGATGGACAAAGTTATTTTGTACAGGTGAGAGGTGGCCGATATTTTGTGAAATTAGTTAAAGTATAATTATATATATTTGTTGCGTCTGTTGATGCACTTTCTTTGTAATAATAATAATAATTAATAATAGGAAGAGGAAGATGAGGAGATGATAAGATTGTTGATAGAACTATCTTTAATTAAATACAATAATTATTATATTGATTATAGCTTTGATAAGTTTATCATTTATTAGACACTAATTATCTTTTGATATCATGGAGGTCACATTATTAACAATTTACCTCATCGTCGACATAAGAGAAATGATAAAATTGTTGTTGAGAATGAGTAATAGTTATACCTTAATGATTTAATGACTTTTAACATAAAAGGGATATTATCACTTTTTCAGTTAAAGATAATTTCACTAGACACAAATAGAGTATATAATAGTTTTATGTGTTGGGCCCGTGCTTAGCACGGGCTATGCCTATCTAGTAACATATAGAAATGCTATATTCTGAAATGTGCAGCTACTGCTGTAACTCTTGATCTATGAATAAAATTTTGTTATATTTGGCAAAATGAGATTTTTTTGCCTTCTTAATTGATTAACTATAGTGCTATTTTTGTGGAATTATCATAGGCGGAGATTAAATAATAACATTCAAGTTGGTTGAAAGCGAAGAAGAAGAAGAAGAAAAGGAACACTAGCGTGTGCTACACACTACAAATTTTTAATGATGTAATAACACTAACATTACTATCATTGAGTCGTGAAAATTATCATATCTAATCCAGAAATTCTGCATCAGAGAAGGCAATGTCTTTCATATATACTTATATCATTGTTATTTATTTCTTAGTGATATGTTGAGGTGCCCGTTGAAGTTATTAACGGTCCCAAAATACTTAAAATATTTCAACCTATTAGTTGTGATATATTTTATATCAGTATGTTGTTCTTGAGTACCATAAAATCAATCACTACAAATTGTAAATATTGGGCTCGTGTTAACACGGGTTGATACCTATGTAGTCTTATTATATAACTTGGAATAGCTTCTTTCAAGTTAATAAAATATTAACCATGTGTTGCAATATAATACATTGATTATGTTGTTCAAAAGCTTATGAATACATATAAAGATTCAAGTAATTTAATTCAAAACTCTAAATATTAGACAATATAAGGAAATAATGAACTTTCTAAATATTAATTGTAACTTTATGATACATATTTTATTTTTTTGTTAGTGGTTATAAGGAACCTTTTGTTGAAGGATAAAGTTTAGGTGTAACGTGAAATATTGAAATTAAAACTTAATACTATGAAAAGATTAAATTGCCTAATTAGAATATACGGTAATTCCAAGCTTCAGTTTAATTGTTTGTTCATCATTACAAATGCTCCAGTGACTAGTTGTCTCTAGTTGTCTTTCAGGGAAACATATATCCAAGAAATATAGGGCAACCAAATGGATGGTTAACTAAAAAAAACAAAAACCAAGAGATTGCAACTCTCCTATTAGTGTAACGGCCCTTTTCGGTCATTATATGGGTAGGCCAATAGTGAAAGAATTAGGCCAGAAAACTTTTTGGGTAGAGACTTAAAAAATGTAGGCTAGGCCAGTCCAAGAAGAAATCTGAGTGAGACTGGGTCTAGGAAAATCCGGGAATGAATGGAGTGATATGTCTGAGATTAAATCGCGTTTTCTAATAGCTAAGACATTAAGGAATACATAGGACCTTTCATAAACGAATTCGGGTGAATAGAACTCCCGATATTGAATTTGGCGTGAAGGGGTTAGTTTAGAACGTCAAAATTCGAAGGTGTGTTGTGAAATGAGATTTGAGGGGGGGGGGGGGGGTTTATGGGGGTCTGGCTTTGGTAA